CGAAGTAACGGACGATTTGTAGGTTCAATGGGTTGTAAACGATCACGTACAACCGATGGCACTGACTGAAGCTGAAAGTGAAAGACTGTAAGACATCTTTTTATCTGATTACCTTAAAGGTGACCCTTTTCTTATTTTTACTTTGTTTGACACTGTTGAAATTAGTGTCTGCTCGAGCTAAATTTTGTATCGTGGGAGATAATTGGCAAAGAAAATCGAGATTTTTTTTACTCCCAAGTATGTGACATAGTCTTCTATGGATTTTCTGGAGATTCCAATTTTCATCGAGCCACTTTATGACCTCTTGAAAAACGCAGTAATCAAATCATATGTGAAAAGTTGAAATTTCCAAAAGATTATCAGCATTTTTCAATTATTTCGAGAAGGAGGAACGTATATTTTTTCAAAAAAGAAATTTTATTTCTGAGATCAGACCTGTAATGTGTGCGGTAAAATTCTAACATAATCGAACATTAGTTAGGACTGTAAAAGTTCCCGTTCCTTCTTCGGCCGTTATCGACAACGTTAACTAGAAAAACAGCTGCCGTTAAGGTAACGATGACGGTCTTTTTAGTTAGCGTTAAAACAACGGTAACTGAAAGACAATTAGCGTTAAAACAACAGTAACTGAAAGACAGTTACCGTTACTCTAACGATAACTGCGTTTTCAGTTACCGTTGAAATAACGGCAATTATCAGTTAGTTAACTTTGTGGTAACTATTTTTTAAGTATGGCAGAAATATCCACGCAGCGGCTTAAAATAGCTTCCAAAATCGCTAGTCTTCCACTAAAACTGTTGAAACTTTAATAAATGACATGGTTTTGTAGTCTAATTTCGTTGATGAAAACAAAACAGATTTCTCAAGCTGGCTGTAGATGCTGAGATCTCCAGAGACCTTAAAAATCGCAGTTACATTGAAACATTGAAGTTATATAATTTCGATTAGCTTAGTGCCAATCAAAACCATGTCATTTATGAGAGTTTCAACAGTTTCAGTGGAAAATTAACGATTTTGGAAGCCATTTTAAGCCGCTGCGTTGATATCTTTGCCGTACTTAAAAAATAGTTACCACAAAGTTAACTAACTGATAGGTACGGTTATTTCAACAGTAACCCGAAACGCAGTTATGGTTAAAGTAACGGTAACCGTCTTTTCAGTTACCGTTGAACGGTAACCGTATTTCCAGTTAGCGTTAAATCAACGAGCGCAACAGAAGCTTTTACAGTTGTAACACTAGTCTTCCTTTTGTAACAAAGTGGAAAAAGAAATATCCTTAAAAAAGTTGTCAGCAATGCATAGACATTTATCATTACAACTTTAAGGTTAGAAATAAAATTATTTTTGTAACACTTTTCATTGTAAAAGTGTTTCATCATCCTTTATCTAAACATTTCTTCTACTTATTTACCTTTCGTTCAAGCAATTTTGATAATCTTGCTGAAAAAGCAATAAATGAATCCGTATTTGTTTTACGTCCACCATCTTCATCACTTACAAACGCGGAGCGAAATCTGTCAAAATATATAATTCATAAATAATTTTCTGTTTCAAAAATAATTATAACATTTTTTTTACTTACAACTGAAAATGATATAATTCAGAATAAGGCATTGCTAATAATACATCAAGCAATTTACAGGCAAACAAATACATTTTTAACGCAGGATTTAAACCTTGACCAGATGGTGTACTTGACACAGTTGTCGAAGCCAAATCGTTCATTGCCAAACGTTGAATATGAGATCTAAAAGAAAAAGTTGAATTTTATATTCGTATGAACATTTTTCTAATTTAACGTTGAAAATCAGATGATACGTTTGAACGTCAAAAATCGTATATAAAAAATAACGACAATTTTTATTGTCACTCTTACTTTGCTTCACCATCCAAATCGGATAACAGATCTTGTTCAAATTGCAATAATACTTGTACTAATTCTGCCATTAATATTGGCCATAATGATATTAAATTTCTTGATGCAATACGTAGCAAAAGTACACGGAAAAATAAAAACATTTGTGTATGTAATGTAGGCATTTGTGGTAATTTTAGTAAATCGGTAATTCGTTCCAATATTTCGGGTAATTGTCTATTATATTGATCTTTTTCTGATGAATAGATAACAAATGCAAAACGTTTAACTAACATAGCACGTTGTTCATATTCATATTCTTTAGATATAAATAAACCCGTTTGTATTGTGTTTATTTTTGTCATTACATCACGAAATGACGTTGGACGTTCATTTGTAATCAAATTATCGACAATTATTTTCCATGATTTTAATGCTTGTATATCTAATTGAAAGAAGGATGGATCAAACAATTGTTCAAATGCTTCTTTTTTCCATGCTTTACGCGTATACGAATATTGAGATAAATTCATTAATAATTGGGATGCACAACGATACGACGATGCATTCAATTGTACGTGAGTCTTAACGTAGGGTATAACATTTGGTACTAAATTTTGTAAAAATGGTATTACTATTCTTTCTTTTTCATCTATTTTACTATAAACAATATCGAGTAATGATGCAGCATGTTCGGCTAATATGGATAATGCTAGGAGGCTATAATTTGTGTTCGATGAATCAAAACTAATCATTGTTTGAGATACAGCTAAGCAAAAAAAAGAAAATCAATTGATATTATGCCTTATTCAATAAAGGTTGTATAAATGTAATGCTCCGATTCATCAGTTTTGTACTAATATTAAACAAATCAAAATTTACCATCAAAATCTGTGTTATTTTCTACCATAGGGTGAATTGCAGCAGTAGAATTACCAATAGGAACGTCTAATAATTGTTCATTATTTTTCACTACTGTTCCATCGCTATTTGCTAAACGTACTTGAAGATTTTTTCTTAGCCATGTTGTTTGTTGCAGAGATGAGGCAACAATAATATTACAATTATCAAGTACGCGCATTGTTATATCCTTAAATGTAATGAAAAAAACGTGAAAATATTTTGAAGAAAATAATTTTATGTACAAATCTAACCTGTAAATCTCTCATATCACGTTTCTCAGAAATTGTTGGTAATCGTTTTACATAGAAACTTAATATTCTAAAATAAACTAAATCATTGTTTATATCTTAATGGAGCGGTAATAGTGTGATAATTACCTTAGAATCAAAAATGTTGCTGACTGAGAGATCGGTTGAGATGACAGACATTCTTTGAACATAAACGATAATTGTGGCCAAAAATCAACAGTTAGACTTTTTTGCTGTTCTAAATAAGCTAATAGAAATTGTAGACACCAAACATCGTAATTTTGTTTTTTCTAGAAAAAAATAAACAAAGATTATTTATAAAAAAATATCTAATGATTTCAATGTTTAAACTCGACTTGTTTGTACAAATACGTAAATTTTGTTTTACAACCGCTTGTTTCGTTACAGAAAAGCTCAAATCTTGGAAAGTTGAACTGACTTCCGTTTAACCGCAATAAATTCGCATGATTCATAGAGAATTTTGACAAATATATTTGTCTTTTCTCTAAATACATTAGAACGTTTATCACCGAAATTATTTCGATGATGTTCTACGTATATATTCTCAACTTAGTTGAGAGAAAAGTTACAGAAAGGCAGTCATGAGGATTGCGCGCGTAGTAAGTGTCAGTTCAAGTTTCCAAGGCTTCAGCTTTTCTGTAACGAAACAAGCGGTTGTAAAACAAAACTTACGTATTGAAAAAAATATCTAACTATAATGACTTTGATATATATCAGTTAGAAACTGGTATGCTAGCAGACAAATAAATCACACAGACATTAGATATGTATATTCTACAAAAGATTATACTAGTATAAAGAAAATTAAAAACCTGTGAATCTACTACTTCTTTTCTGTTTTATGTTAAAGCATAGTACGAACAGTGTTTCAATATTATTAATAACTTAAACATCAAGAATTCATACCTTGTCTCTTACTGTCAGTTGATTCCGAATTAATTCATTCATATTTGCTATGATATCATTAATTGTATAATTTTTAATATTCATGACTATATCAATAAGTGCTTGTATTTCACCAATATTATCTCTTGGCATTGTTAATATTGTTGATGTTGTTACACCGATACTACCCGTGGATAATTTTGGTGATTGCGCAGTTGATTTTAATCGTTGTTGCCGTTTTCGTTCTCCCCAGCATACAGCAATAGCTAACATAAATGAAATACCATTATGTTTTGTTAATGAACTTAATAGTTCTAAAATTGTTTGACGTATTTGTTTAACTGATTGATTAGGCCAAGGATTTTTATATTGTTTTTGAAAATTAAGATTTATTGTTGTTGTTATTGTTTGTTCTGGTAATTCAAATAATAGTTGTTCCGAAACAGTTTTCCATATAAATAATAAACTCGATAATATTGATGGCAACTGATTTAAAATTGATTGACGAGCATCATATAAGTCACGCTCACTCAAATTTGCCTTAAAAAGATAAAGATAATATATAACAAATGAAATAACTTAAATTTAACATACATTTTTCATCCAGTATTGTGTCAATGTTACTGTCGACATTTGTACATTTATTTTCTCATTCTCGATTCCTAATAAACAATAATTACAAATATATGATAAAAGTTGAATTAAATGAATAACATAGTCGATAACATCAAAATGTGGTAACAATCTAAATGTGTAAATAAATCATATGAACTGAAACTACTTGAAATTTTATTTTTTACAGTCTCAGTTAGTTCAAAATTAATGTTAAACAAATGAATTTATTATCTATACCTTGTTCTAAATATATTTATTGATTGTATTGAACGTTGATGATGAGCTTGAACCACATAGCATAAATTTCGACACATTTGTTCTACAACTAGACTACCAATTGACTTCAATGATGAACCACAATGTGGCAATATTCGAATACAAAGACTAATTATATATCGATGATTTTCAATAAAATCAATTTGTTTCAAATATTGTAATATTGATGATAGAAATAAACTTTGATTAACAACTGGCTGATTATCGATATAACGTAATGTTGTAGTTGGGGATGAGCCAGTATTTTTTGTTATTAGAGTTGTAGTAGCTAATGTCGATGGCAATAGTGAAATGAAATCTAGTTCCAAGGGTAACGATTGCTTTATTGTAAATGGTGAGATGGGTGATGACCATGATGAATTATGATCTAACATTTGAGAACCAAATCCATTTGATGATACAGATATAAGAGTATTTGATGTTGAAATAGCGTTTGTACTTGTTGATGTTTTGTCATTTGATGATTTCTGAGAATGTTGACATTGGACTACCACATGTTCGAGAAATACAATTTCTTCTAATAATTGAGCTAATTGTTTTAAATATTGTCGACTGAATTCATCATATACTGGCTCGATGTTATAGTCCAATATTGTTTTTGATAAGGTTTTTAATTTTTGTTGACGTGATGTCATGTTTATTAGTGTTTCGGATGATTTAACTTGTTGTTGGATATTTTCTATAATAAGAAATTTCTTTAAGTTCGATAATAAAAAAGAGATAACAATGAAGAGAGACAAATCGTTCCGCTGTCACTCTGTAAAAATAGTTGATTTCAACAAAAATTGGCAGGAGTGTCAACAAATTATTATTTTCTTTTCACGACTAGGATAGCTACTAGTGAACCTACGACAGGGATGTGCGACATATTCATTGGAAAAAATCTTCCTAAAATTTACCATGTGTTGATGATGGTATTACTTTTTCTACCGCTGTATGAAATAGATGTAAAATTGTTTTTTGCAATGCTGTTTTGTTCAATAAATCAATAATAAAATTAATGAATAATGTTGATGTTGTATCTATACAGATAAATGACAAATCATGACATATTCTAGCTAATAAATTTAATGTTCGTATATGAACTTTTCGATTCTCTCGCATATCATGTAAATTTAATTTTTGTCTAAAACTTGTTGGATAATAACTTCTCACATATGTTAATAGAATGTTAATCATTGTATATAAATAACAGGGCATTATTTGTTGTTGTTGTTGTTGTTGTTCAATTGATGAATAAAAATTTTTACCTTCTATTGATCGTTTATGTCTTGTATATAATTCGTACATTCTACTATTATGAATATTTATTGTAGATGTTTTATTATGATTTGTATACGATAATGTTTGAATCAATTGTTTGGGTATTAGATCAATTAAACTTTCAATTAATGTCATTGAGAATAGAACACGATTATAATCATATGGTTGAGTATATAGTAATATGTAAGCTAAATGACCATCAATCTTTTTATTTTTTTCAGCTAATACAGTAGCTGAAGAAGAATTTAATGTCATATCTCGTGATTGTTTTGCTACAGTATTTTGATTGAATGATGTAGTTGTTGGTACCAATACTGTAAGAAAATTAGATTCACTCAATGATGTGATAGGAATAGTATCAATATCATCTGCAGATGCTGAAAACGTTTGAGATGATGAACCAGCTGAATGAGGACGACGAGAATATGTTGATGATGATGAATTATTTAAATGTGGAACAGATTTTAAATCAACTGATAACAGATAGGATAAATCGGGTTTTGTTGTTACAGACGCATCAGGATTATCGACTAAATCTGATAAATAAAACAAAAGCAGAAAACAATCAGTTATTAGAAACTACATCAGCATTCCGCAATTCTACTCTTCTACTTTTTTTTGTGACATTTACCTTCATGCACTGAACTAAACATTTTACTATTATTATTGTTTTTTAAGTTGGTGTTATCATGAGTAATAGTATTTATACTTTTATTATGAAAATTTGGTGGTAAAGTAGGTGCTCGTCTTTTAATGACTTTCAATTGATCGTTGTTTATAGGAGGTATTACAGGATTAGTTAATACTGGTTGAGATAAACTTAATGTTGTTTGTTTGTTTGCTTTTGCTACTTGGGATTTTAAATTTGGCGATGATTGTTTAACATGATAAACAACTTCACCAGACTCACAACTAATTGCACCAATTTTTGCCTCTGGATCTTCGTCAGTTGCCTCAGTATCACCTTCATGATGTTGTAGGTCATCTTCTGTGGGTATTTCATGTTCATCGACGAATGTATCCTCACCCTCCATATCATCAAATGTATTCGATGATATTTGAAATGTCATTTTGTTTATATCGCCATCATCTTCATCCTCGTCAAGATCAGCCATTTTTTTGAAATTTGAATTTATTAAACTTTGTTCAGGAGAAACTAATGAAATTTGTTTCTGGAAATAATCACGATGATTTATTGGATTTAGTTTTTGTATCGATATTCTAGCTGTATCAGGATGTAATAACATAATAAACAGTATATCAAATATTCTATACATATCACCTGTAAAAAAGAATGAAAAAACCTGGATTAACATCTTACATACACTGACTGCTCACGAAATTAAGACAAAAAATGAGTGATCTCATTCGTATAAAAGTATTTAAAAGACTTTTGAAAAATTCATGCTGAATAATTGTGTACCTTGTATAAAACGGTCACATATCCACTGTTGTACCATCAATTTTAGACAATGATTATTCGATTCATTCAATATACTTAAAACAATCAGTAGACATCGTTCAAATGTTTTTGTTAAACGTAAGGTAGATGTTGATAATAAATCACGTGTTGAATTCCATAATTTAAAAAAACGTTTGTATGATTCTATTATTTGAAATTCATTATCATACTGTTGAATATGTGTGGATGATAATTGATTACATATCATATCTTCACAATCACGCGATGGTAACATTGAGTGTAACATTAATAATAGACGAGATGATTTTATATTGTATTGTTGCTGATATTCATCACTTAAATGTTCCCATAAATACGATGTTACATGTTGAAAATAAAGTGTATCAACTGTCAAAAAATTCACTTGATCTTGAGTAAACGGTGGAAAAATTGGTATATGTTCATTCAGGCTATTCGTAAGTGGTACAATAGAATTGTCGATTGTTTTTGGTGTGGTCGGTAAATTGTGAAAGATTAAAGAAGTATTTGGTAGTTTTTGTTGATCGATCAATGCTGATTTGCTAACATTATTTGATGAACAATATAGACATAATGAATAATCGACTAATTCAATAAGAACAGAAATGGATATTGTTTGAATAGAAAAATGGTTACTACAACATATCGATAAAACACATAAATCCATACACCAATCATCAAATTCAATTGAATCTAAATGAAAATAGAAAAAAGTCTATGAGTTTTAATTCTTAGTAGATTGATGTATTTCTAAGAACATATTAAGTGAATAGTTCAGCTGTCCTCCCTCAATCAGAGACATATCGATATATCTTGTATACCGAATTCTATTGAAGTTAAACTTCAACAACATTTAAGATCTTTTTTTGTCATGGAAAAAACTGTACTTCTCGATTTTGTGTTAGTCAAATTTGCGACTATATGAGAAGACTCTAATCAACTACCTGCAACCGGTGTTTGCTTGGTATTATCGTTTGTAAATTGTCTTGGAAAGCAACATAAATCGACGAGTAATTTGCAACAGTCTTCGAAAGATTTCCTATATAATTCAACATTATCATTCAATTTTAGAGAGAACTCAGTTTGTTGTCGATAGTATTGATTAAATAGTGCACAAATATTATCATGAGTTTTTTTTTGTGTTAGTGAATACATTTTTTTGAATTTTTCTTTAATTTGTTGACTATCATTTGAAATAATAAATGTTGTTATGAAACAATGAAAAAATGCTTTATACAAATTTAACGTTTTTTCAATATGATTAATTGATTTTAAAACATTTTTATTGATTGATGTTGATGTTCTCGTTAATTTATGTGAACTTGTTGTCGACGTTGACACTGGTTCTATGTGAATATATACTTGTTTTTCAATAGTACGAACCATATGTCTTAATAAACGTTCAACATCAACTGAACATTGATCTATTATTAAAGAAGATTGTTGTAATTGTCCAATACTATTTGTTTTAATAAGTTTATTATAAACATTCATTGAATAATCATTTTCATTGATTAATCTACTATTAACATTTTCTTCATCATCATCAGATCTACTTGCACTCTTTTTCTCATCTTCTAGAACACTATCGTCATTAATTATTTTCTGAATTAGTGAACTACGCTCGTTAATTGTTGAACGACGAAATATAGATAAATGTCGAGTATCTGATGAAACAACCTAAAAAGACAGTCATAATCAATTTGAAGTAAATGATACAAGAAATGACTTATTACCTTTTTTAAAATTTTTAATAACGTTTGAACACATACACTAATTTGTTGAGCAGAAAATTTTACAATGTGCGTATTCATTATTTTAATGAGATGGTATAACATTTCAGGAAGATAATCAATTTGAATATCTGGTGAAGAATCCTGGAAAAGAGATACAACGTCAGTCAGATATAATAGAAGAAATAGGTAGATGTCACTTCAAGTAAATAATTCTGGCGATAAATGTGTGGCACAACGAATATGCCATGATAAATCATTTCATCTGAATGATATCAAAAAAAGTATGTTGATATCAAACTATCAAACTCAAAATGAGAGATAAACTTGAATTGTGCTAACTTTAGAAACAAATAACAGATTGTCCTTTACAAGTACAAAAGTCTTACCAACGAAGCAATATCGAGTAACATCTGAATAACTCCACATAATGTTTCAATCGTTGCACCACCCGTTGTTGTCAATTTAAATGGAACTAATTCCTGTTGTTGATCAGTCTGCGTTAGAATAAGATCAAAATTTTTTGTTAAAAATTCCCAAATAAAATAGGGTTCAAATGTATCCAATAGTACATTTAATGTTTTTAATGTTTCTGATCGTTGATTTTCTTGTTGTATATTCATAGCTGAAGAAACTTTTGTTTCGAAGTATACTTGTTTATATACAATTAATAAATAATTCATTAATACATATTCGAGTATATTTGGACCAACATCTGGTTTATCAACTAATATAATTAGAACACGTAATAATTTTGTTAATGTCCACGAACTTGACATTGTGTCAATTGTGATCGGTATTATGGTATCATATGTTAAAGGCACTGCTTTCATTGACTCAAGGGCATTTATTAAAGCATGAATTAGATTATCGTGTGTATATTGAGTAAAATAAGTGAATTCTGCTACCGTTGATGTGCCGCATGTTTGTGTTACAGTTGTTGAAACAATAGAATCTTGTGCTTGTAATGGCAACTGTTCAGAGTCAAGAAACCATGAATAAATTCGACGATTTAAAGACATATTACGTTTTAATAAAATATTTAATGATACAGTAATGATTTTCATCAAATCTATTTTCGTCAATTGTTTATTATTCATTGGTAAACATGTTAAAAGAAAATCTAATATTGAACGTTGTACCAAAGATTGTTCAGTATCTTGTAAACACACACATACGGCTGATACCTAAATAAAAATGCTTAACAATCATTATTGATAAAAGAGATTTTTCTAGGTATATTAATGGGTGTTAGGAGCCTTTTTCTGATTAAAGTGTAGCACAGTATTATCAAAAATGATGGTCGTTGATGCTTGCGTATTTATATAACTGGGATACATCGATTATGTAACTCAGCATCCTACACCTTTGGAAATTTTCAATAGCAATTAACAAGCGAAACTGTTATTTTTAGTGAGGCTTGTTAAATTAATAGTAATCGTTTACTCATGAGCAGATTTTTTCATCCGGTGATAGTGGGTTGTTGAGCAAAGAAAAAGCCACAATATTTGAACATAATCAATTTGTGGCATTATATAGCAAGCTACTTGCTGATCTCGAGATAAATCCTTCCAACCTAGCAAAAGAGCAAATAGTTTTATCTCATTAGTAAAAACAGATCAACTACGCTTACTAATGTTTCAATGGATAATCCCATTAGATGTAATTGATCTTCCATACTTTTTCGTCTATCAAAATGGCTCAATATGTATATTATTGCTGGATAACGTGCTGATGGTAGCAAATGCATTGCTGACCATATACAAGAATAAAAATAAAATTTATCAATTTTCAATAAAATGTTATCTAATAACTGATATGTTCTATCAAAATAATCAGATCCTTCTTCTAATGCTGGAAATAAACCCAGAAATAGATCGATTAGAACAGGATTCAAACTTTCACCTAATGGTAAAAGATATGTTTCGTATAGTGACAAAAGGACGGGTTTGACCGGTAACGCAGCGGACGGTAACAATGGAAATAGACCCAGTGAGTATAGTATAATATCACGCTGTAAATTTCGTTTTCCTATCATCTGAAATATGGAAGCATAAACTTCCAGCGCTTTTAAATGAACACCGGATGGTAATGCTGGATGAAGACATTGTGCTAAACGTTTTGATAATGTTATTCTTTTCGGTATTGATTGAAATTTTGGATAATTTTCGATTGTCTAAAAAGAAAACACAACCGCTTGTCAAAAAATGAAGTAACAAACAAGGGTAAAAAGAACAGCTGAGAATAACAAGAACATGAAGATATGAATCAATAAACTGGATACCTTTTTAACTTTGACTAAATTTGTTATTAAATCAGCCCATTCAGACGAATATTCAAATTGTTTCAATACTTTTTCTAATGTAGAAATAAAATTTTTATAACGTGCATCGTTCAATAATGCCACTTCATCACTTGACATTAAACTCATGTTTCGATGTTTTTTTAGCACAAAGTTTTGTTAATATCATATCTAAAAGATAACGAATTATCATGAAAAGTTAGAAAAACCATCTGATCAATAGACCATAACAGAAAAATATAATTTGTGGAAATTAAGATGCCACAAGAAAGTACATGATTACAGGAAGTCAACCAGATAAGCCAGCAAGAAAGAAATCAAGTTTGTTTTACTGATCATACAGATCTAATGTATTTCTGTCAATACTCATCGATGACGTAAGATGACTATTGATACAACTTAAATATTAATGCCGACACTCTAAACAATGATACAGATGATTACAGCAAATCAAATTTCCAGATGAATATTGATTACTGCACATAACTGAACCTTCATCCAAACTTATTCAGTACAAACGACAGAAAATAGTGCATTATTAATCTACAAACAAAACTGACAAAAATGGCATTCATGTCAAGAACTATTCATTTGATGTCCGACAGATCAAAAATAGAGAAATATAGACTATTATATAAAAAACAAACAGCATAATTAAGATTTTCTCGCTAATGAGTAAAGGCATCGCGTATATATTTTATATAACGTTGTTGCCAGCTGTGGTTGAAGTATGATATGGATTGGTTGAGAATTAGCTACTCACTTTGTCGTCTGAAACTATTCATACTTCCATGTTGTTGCACATGTCAACACAATTTTCTAAATATTCATCAAGGCTATAAGCAATTGGTCTTTATTTAAATTTTAAACGTTGTTATTGCTATTTTTGATTGGTTAACAGCCATATGTAAATGAGTCACAAAATATTACCAGAAATATCCATTAATTGAAAGTGTTCTACCATACACTGTAAATTTTAACTGCGTCGAAGTGAATGATCATATTATCCACTTTTCTGACGTGGTAGTCAGAAAAGTGGATGATTTTCCTTTGTTTATATATAGTCGAACACTCTGAAATGAATGATTTATTTACGAAAAGTGAGAGTCATCAAAGGTCCCCGATATATAAAACAATGACTCGAGCCAAACAACAACAAAAAGACTCTATGAACAGAAAAATAAAAATAAAAAGTAAATTAGTAACGAAAACAGAGAGATAGTAAAGAAAGAATAAAAAAACAAAATAAAATAAAGAGTAATAGCACTGGTTTTGTTCTTAACTATAAATATGGCTATGTTCTACTGAAAAGATGCTGAGATAAAGCTATTTTAAATGCTAATAATAAAGAACGGATCATCCACTTCGATGAACTCGAAATTTACAGGATAGAAAGAATTTTCCGGTTAGCCGACTTGAGTTGACTTAACTACACACCACGACTGCACCCGTTGAACGGATCGTATATATTAAACACTTTAGCGAATTATGACTAGTATTTCTATTTCGTAAATGTGCCCAGATTCGACAAAACGGTCCGTAAACGGCAGTAAACTATTAAAAAACTATATAACGGGTATCGCAGAAATAATGGGACAGTTTTGTTTTCTATCTTTGAGACACTTAGCAATCGTTTTAAAATCTGGTTCTAAGATCATTCGATAGAGAATTCATTTTTCTACAAAACTGTCGAATGCGTTTTTCAAATTAGTCTTTCTTATGGGCGTAAAATTTCAAAGATTAACGCCTACTCAATAGTCCATCTGCGAATTCTTATTTTTTCCGGATATCAATCGATTTGTTTAAGCGTGTGCTCATCAAAACCGATGCTCAAACTTATTTAACGTCAATAAATAGAGAATTTTGTGCTCTATACTTCCACGACCTTTTCAAGGTTCTTGGTGCCCTTGTTAACAAGAAAAAGGCTTCGAACTAACACCTTGTGAAATTTTTGGACGCATTTCAGAAAAGAATGTTTTTCTAAGACAGACTTGTCATATGGAACGTTGACTCTTGTACCGTTGTATGCAGATTTTAATTCAGGACAAAATGGTATAAATTGTGACTTCAACATTGAAATCATTTTGGCTGTTTCGATTAAAAGAGAAAAATGTCATACGTATGTCAGGAAATAAGTTTTTTTGGTGTTTTCACATTTTCCACTTCAAAATTTCTCCTCTCAAATATTTCTTCTAAGTTTTTAAAAGTTACATCGAAAGATGCAGAATTTTATGTAGAATTTCGTGGCACACTTAACATTTCAGCAGAATCGTCTAAAAATATTTCCGTATATTTTTTCGTTTTTTTGGTATTCGTAAATGAACTTTTGAGTAGGTGTTAACCTTTGAAGTTTTACACTTACAAGAAAGACTAATTTGAAAAACGCATTCGATAGTTTTGTACAAAAATGAATTCTCTGTCGAATGAGCTCAGAACCAGGTTTTAAAACGATTGTTAAGTACCTCAAAGGTAGAAAACAAAAGTGCCCCATTATTTCTGCGCCACCCGTTATTTACGGTGGTCCGTATGGGTTTTCCGTATACGAACATCCACTTACCGCATAGTTTACGTGAGATATGAGCCGTTTTACGGGGTCCGTACGGAAGTAATATGGATCGGAATACTGCATACGTTCTTAAGGTGAAATACGCATCGTCAACGGTCAGTATTTCACCGCTTACGGCCGTTACGGTGCCGTTTTTATCTTTTACGGGCCATAAGTGGTACCGTTTTGACCGTCCTGGGCAACCATGAAAACAATAATTACTTATTCTAACGTACGGCTTTCATCCGGACATTTCGAAACAGCACCGGACATTGAGAGTGCGAGTATGAGTCAAACCATGTAAAAAGAAATTGAGAAAAAACTTCAATTAATCGCAATTAATCAGCTGATTAATCGTCCACTTAATCATCAATAAATCTGCGATTTTGCAAGTTGCTCCTCAATAATCGGAATAAGATATAGAGTCTAAAATTTATTTAGTTGATAGTCTAAAGTATGAGATTTTGTAGACTAGCGTTTTTCAAAGCGCGTGAAGATACCGCACAAGCCGTTTAATCATACATTATACACACTCTCATACTATTAGTATGAGAGTCTGTTATGCTTTAAAAGCATAACATGAGAGTGAAGAGTGGGTGGTTGGTCTGCATCCATTATGAGAGAGCTGCAAAAGTCGACTTATTTTCGCCAGCCGGCTTGAGCTGAAATTTTGGGTAATGAATAACGAGTATTAGTTAAACATTTTCTGAAAGTTTCATCAATGACGTCTCAGCGGTTGCGAAGATAATTAGTTGTATAGAAGGCGCTAAGTGAGTAGCGTTTATTCTCGTTGAATATAGGCATTCATCTCGAAAAATAGTCAAACTGTTATGACTTTGTAGATGTTCTAATTCCATCTGCTTATTGTTTCACTCAGTCGACTTTCCAATCTATGCGCAGCATAGTTGGCATCTAGCTAAGTCGACTGAGCGAAACTTCGGAGACTTATTGCTTTTCGCTCCGCGCGTTGCCTAGCAACATTGTTCTTTCTTTCCATACCGTTTTTTTAGTTCGATTCAGCTAGTCGTTCTCTGTTACAGCTGATCGTAGAGATTCGGGAAAAGATGAGTCAATTCTATAACGGTTTTAGATGACACATCTGAAGTTAATTTTTCTATGTAGACTTTAGTTCACCTATAATTAGTCCTAGAAGATGAGCATATTATATGTCTTTGAACAACTTTGTCGTTTTCTGTATGAAATAATTAATTGTCGTATGATATCCTTCATAGTGAATACATGCTACAGTACTTAACCTGATAAAAGCTACAGTAGACAGGATAAAGGCTCAGCTGATATGTCAATGTGAATAATATGCCGTAGAAGACATGTAGACAGTTATAAGTTTCTAGATCTTTTAATTTCGTCTGTTTACCGTTTCACTCAGTCGACTTTCCAATCTTCCCCCAGGACAGTTGGCTTCTAGTTAAGTCAGCTGAGTGAAACTCAAGGAGACTTATTGCTATTAACCCGGAAAATTCTTCTTTAACGCGACCGAGTGAAACTCGGAGAGGCTTATTCTGTTCCACTACAAAAATTTCTTCTTTCTTTCTTGTTCCTTCTAGACCCTACTTTCTGCTTCGATTCAGCCACTCGTTCTCACCTATCACTAACCGTACAGATTTGGGGAAAAGATCGTTTGAGAGTGCAAGAGAGGTAGATGAAACAGCTGAAGTTACTTTTTCGCTATATATTTTACTTATTAAGTAATGAATCTCAAAAATTGAGCGTATTTTCAATAACTTTTCTATAAGATAATTAATTGTCACGTGACACTTCATATAAATTCAGTAGGAATAGTGTGGAGCGATTCATTAAGTAGTCACGTGCTACTCATCATTCTATACTTCTGTACAGTTTGATACATTTATAGTCTGAAGCATTACTACGAATAGAATGCATCAATATATTTACTACTAAAGCACTGCAATGTTCTAATCATATGTACGGGATTCAAACGGTGTCGAAAGTGTTTCTAAGATACGTTTCACTCGATCTGGTTTCCAATCTGTCCGTACGGTCGGTAGTTGGCATCTAACTTAGCCGACCGAGGGAAACTCGTAGAGGCTTATTCTGTTTCACAACAAAAAATTCTTTTTTCTTTCTTCCACGCTCTACTTTCTCCTTTCAGTCACTCGCTCGTTCTTTGTAGTTATATAGTTATAATGAGTCTCAAAAGTTGAACATATTTTCAGTAACTTTTCTATAAGATAATTAATTGTCACGTGTATGCTACAGTAATGGATTTAATGAAAGCTATACTATACTAGAACACATGACATGATAATGAATCAGCCGATTTAGGAATATAAGAATTCTTGAAAAATAGTGAAACGGTTGTGTGTTGGTAGATGTCCTAATTCCGTCTGTTTCCTGTTTCACTCAGTCCACTTTCCAATCTATGCGCAGGATAGTTGGTCTCTAGTTAAGTCGACTGAGTGAAACTCAAGGAAACTTATTCTGTTTAGTTTCGAGCGTTGCCTAGCAAAATTCTTCTTTAAGCCGACCGAGTGAAACTCGGAGAAGCTTATTCTGTTTCACGACAAAAAATTCTTCTTTCTTAAAGTCGACTGAGTGAAACTTA